TAAGGGAACAATTTGCGAAAAGATCAGGGAAGGACACTCGGGTGGAAAAAGGTACAATAAAAAAATGGATAATTTTTATACACAAAAAAACGGGGGAATACAAGCTGAAAGAATACAAAAAAAAAAAATGAATAAAATTTTTTTCACAGGAGGACTGACGGTTCACTAAAAATAATACTACTAAAACAGGGAGTAGCAAAAAAAAACAGATAAAAAAAAAAATGAAAAAAAAAAAAACGTAACACGAAAAATTTGCAAAAATAATGGCAAAGAAACACGAGTTCAGAAAACACAAAGGTTTAGAGTACACAAGAAATTCACTGTAAAGTCTCACACACGCAAATGTCTTTAAATGCAGGAAAATCTCTAGAAATTATCACTGAATCTGGGTAAAAAAGACTTTGGGAAATTTCGCCCCTCACTCACAGTTTGGAAGAAATGGCCCTTTCTGTGAACTCACATACGGTTTTCGTGGCGTAGTTTCAATCCTTACCAAAATTTTGGCCCCAAAAAGTACTAGGACCCGTTTCAAGGGGGAAAAAAAAAAAAACCCCCAAGGGAGATGAGGGTAATATGGCGGGGGGTGGTGGGGGCAGCGGAACAACTGGCCCCGTGCCTCTCACTGCCCCCACTTCTCACCAGCACAAGGGGCTTAAATAAATCACAATGCCACAGGGGGATGAAGACCACCTAAGCATCCAAAACAAGCATAATGAAACAATATTCGAGGAATGCTTCTTACTTTTCTTAGCTGGGTTAGGAAGCTGGGTTGGCTGACTGGGTAACCCCCGAGAATGGGTGACTGGAAAACGTTAACGAGCAACAGCATGAAGGAGCAGGTGGAAAAGGGAGAAGGCTGGATGGAGGCGAGGCGGGGTGACTAGCTTTCATTCATCATCTGGCTTACGACGGTTAATTTGCAAATCCGGGTCAACCCCTCGGAGATTGAAGAAATTTACACAGAATAAGAAGAAGTTTGAAAAACGGCTGCAACAGGTTTGCGGGCTGGGTACCAGGGTGGAGAAAAGTAGGGTAGCGCTGGAGGTGGCCGGTTCACCTTTACCCGCCGGGTCCCCCAAACAGTCTTCTAACTCTTTAAAAACCCTTAAATTTCCCGCCCAAACCGGTGCCCCATTTGTCATGTGGGGTTTTGATAAAAGGATGGGGTAAAAAATACCACGTAGGCTGGGTAGTCTATAAATATAACGGGGAAATGTGGAAGGCACCAAAAGCCACCTGCATTTTTCTGCCCTTCTTGACTGACTCATGTGCCTATGGGGAGGGGGTTTTTTAAATCCCGCTATGGCACACGTATGAATACAGTCAATGATCACCAACGGTTGGTATGATCATCTACGGTATATGGTTACTGGTAACTGGGTTACTAGGAACTGGTACACTACGGGAAAAAACATTTACCCAGGGTAATATGGGTACCCAATACTAAAACATTCACCCGGTCATACGGCTACCAAGTACATCATAACACATTCACCCAGGATCATACTAGTACCAATTAAACATAACACATTCACCCAGGGTCATACGGCTACCCAAAACACATAACACATTCACCCGGTCATACTGGCTACCAAGTACATCATGACACATTCCCCAGGACAACTGGGTACCAATTCATCAAACACATTCATCCGGATCATCTGGCTACAGGTACACATAACACATTCACCCCGGTCTCGGTACCAAGTACTATAACATTTTATCCAGGGCAACGGCACCAATTATCAAAAAACATTCATCCAGGAATACGGCGCCAAATACATCATAACAATTCACCAGGGCATACTGCTACCAAGTACATCATAACACATTCACCAGGGTCATACTGGCTACCAAATACATCAAAACATTCACCGGACATACTGGCTACCAAGTACTCATAACACATTCATCCAGGGTCATACTGGCT